CAGACAAATTTTTAGATCTAATGTTTGTGAACACGCATGCAAAAAAAAATCAATTTCCATTAGTGATAAGTGCGGTATTCATTACGTAAGACATGTCAATAAAATCCAATATGGCGGCGTATCCATGGAAACGAAACTTTTTTCTCAAATTTGATTGCGGATTTCAAGACTTCTTACTATGCTTGTTATATGTGTGAAATGTGGTAAAATTCAGTCCAGTAATAACCGAGATAGCTCCCCCCCCCCCCCCTAAGAAGATAGTGCATGCCATGTACACTGGCAAAGTAAAGATATTTTAACTTTCTTGCCTGATTCATCTCTTTAACCAGCTTCAGACTGTGGCTTCTTAAATGCCTGGACCTCGAATTTCAGGGAGTTAGTCAATATCGTGTCGGAAATGTTGACAAGTTGCAAAAACGCTTGATCATTATTTTGTTGAGTGCGCCGTTTCAATGCTGCAGTGTGATGGGAGAGGCAGGCTTACAGGATGGAATTTCCAACAGGATCTCCGCTTTGGCTGGCTTGTTCGATGAGTTTGATCGATCGTAGATCTTTACCCAAACAGCAATAAAGATTATAGTTATAGAGCCTATAGTTCGATCCTATCAGAGACATCGACCGATCGGATTTCTTGTTTCTTATCCTTAGAACAATAAAATTAACTGCTGTGTCGAACGCTTGGACATTTTGTGACCCAGAATCATGGCTATTGGTAGGCCTATCTGATAAATGTTAAAAATCATTGAAACGCCTTATTTAGGCACTGAAGTGGTTGCAAAAAGCAGAAACAGCACAGTCCAGGTTCAGTATAGATCCGCGGTAGTACAGTTTTTGTTTTACGGCACTTGCAACACAATAAAGTCATATAGGTGCCGAAGATTAGAGGTGCTACAAGGGAGTAACAAACACAAAAAGAAGAGGGGAGATAAAGACGATAGATCTAGACCACAGAATTCTACACTTAAGTGTAGAATTCTGTGATCTAGACGTTTGATAGGAAAGCAGAAGCAAATCACACCACAGCACCCGTCAACCACCCACGTAGTACAGGTTGAAAGGTAGCCATGCGAGTAGCTAGTCTATATAAAGCAATAGCAAGGAGAAGTCTTCACCCCCCCCCCCCCCCCCACCACACACACACACATAAACACACTATTTTTTCTAACTTTCTAACTGGCGTGAAAAACACTAGCTTCTAAAAATAGAAAAGTGCAGAGCTTCACGAAGACTGTCTATAATACCTAGTAATATAGGACAT